TAGGATCTAGGAGTATTTGAAGATGGGATTGAATTTTATGTTGAATTTTGTCTATCAAGAGGTAATTACTTCATTGATTGTTAATATTAAATAGGCTTCTTAATTTCAGTTGATGCTCTTTATTTATTTCTTTCTTGTATTATATTTAGAGTACTACCATCCTCCTGTTTACTTACTTCTTTTTTCTTTTTTTCTTTCAATCTTTTTGTCCATAATTTTAGATCTGCTGATTAATCTTATGATTCATCATACTCTTCTAATTGAGTAGCCAAAGATTCTTCTCTATTTTTTTGTTTCTTTTTTAGAACCTCTCCATCTGAATTATCTTCCAATTATTCATATATTTCTGATAATAACAGTTGTTTATCAGGATCTTTTGCTAATTAATTTCTAATTTATTTCTCAAGTTCATTCCTTTCCTTTTTCTTATATAATTTTGTAATCTTCAATGTTTACATATCGTACATACTATGCATAGACTTAAATGATTGACCAGGTTTTTCTTCACCTCTTGCTATATCATAACTTTTGATTGAGTTGAATTAATCATGCAAAAGTTTCTTAGTTACATCTTGTATAGCTAAATCACAAATATTTATAGCAGTTGATTTACTTTTTCTTATTAATTCATGAGCATTTCCAACTATTTTTATATCTGTGTAGCCTTTATGTTATCCAACTTCTCCTTGAACTTGAATTATTTTTTTCATTCTTTATGCCCTAATTGATTACATTAAAATTAAATAAAAACTCAAAATTTAATTTAAATCTAAATAGAAAATATATCTAGAGTAATATTGTAAACATTAAAATATTAATAAATCGTTTTTATGGAAATGTCTATCCTTTAAACAATGAGAATAATCTGATATAGTTGTTAATAAAAGTATGTTCTAAGATAATATTTTTATATTATCTGATAAAAATAACTTCTAAAATTTATGACTCAAACTCAACATAAGATTATGATAGACTTTGATTTTGATCGAATGTTGAAAATTTTATAATTCCAAAACCTCAAATTTTTGTTAAGTTTTATAAATAATAATTCATATGCCAGTTATTTTAGAAAATATGTGTTATAGAAGAAATAAAAAATGGTGAATATTTTTAATGATAGTTTGAAATACTCATATTAGTTCAAAAAGTCAAGCAAAAAGAAGCCAATAAAAGTATAAATTGAATAACTACTACCACTACAATTATAAATTAGTATATTACAATCAATTTAAAGAACTCTTATTAACGATATCAATATTGAAATTTTTTCTACATAATATATGATTATTATTTAATATAATGAGGAGTCATGTCAAACAGTTATCAATTATGTAAGAAAATCATTTCCAAAACTAAATCATTGAAATTACTCATACAATACGTATTTTAATTATCAATCACAAGGTTCTGGCAAGTATAGAATTGCATTTTAACAAATTAACAAAGAATTTGAAATATCTCTAATTATGCATACAGGATGGAGAATTCGTTTGCAATTATTAAGAAGAGGAATTGTTTGTCTTATTTATATTCTCAAATCCCAATCAAGAGATGGATTTAAGCATGAAAATTAATTACATTTATTGAGAAAACTATAATAGTTTATTATGTTTTACTTTGAATTGCTCGAAAATTAAGCACAAGAATATAGTATTAGTTTATACCTTATTTAATAGAAATATTTTATCTCAAAGAAATACTTTATCGAATATCCTAAATTCACTTGTTAATTTTCTAATTATCTAAATTTCATGAAGATGTTCGTTGTATGTTATTTTGGAAACCAGAAGTTTATTTTAAGGATGTTCGTTTTAACAAAACAAAATTTCAATACTATTTATAGGTTGGACATCTACATTTCCAATTTAAATTATTTGATTCTGCTATATTCTACTATAAAGAAGCTATTAGTCAATGTTAAAATTTGATTACCTAAGAGATCAATTAAGATTTTCACCTCAAAAAGTTAACTGATAAATATTCAAAGGTGATTACTTGGATTATAATGACTCTATATATTATGACTTTTATTTATGAATTACAGTCAGACTATAATAAATTATTTGAAACTTATAAAGTAGCACTTTGGCTATCAGAATTAATTGATAATGGAGGATTAACAATTGCTTTAGAAGAATAATATCGTTTAAAACAAAATTAAGTATTGTAAATTATCATAATCTTTTAGTATAAAATATGTATGATAGAAATTAAAGAAATTAATCAAATCCTTGCTCCTATATTTCCTTAATCTTACAAAAATTATGATAGAAAATAATAAAATAATTATTGGACAGATACAAATGATAAGTTCTATTAAAAGTTTAATAAACAGATAAATGTCCAACTCTATTCTATCCTTTAATAACCAGAGGATATAAACTATAAAAAACATCAATTTGGACTTACTGAATAGGAAACAACCATCCAATCTAATATTCATACACCTCGTCAACATGAGAAATGTAAAACTTTCAATTCTTCAGATGAATTTAAGATAAGTAAATAAACTTCCTGCAATCCATCACCTCAACATTCTCACAAGACAAATGTTATGATAAGACAGACAAAAGCTAAATCATTTAAATATACATCTGATATAGATTATATTTTAAAGAGATTTCCAAAAAGAGAAATCGAATCATTTTCATCTTTAAAAGCAAAAAAGGAATTGGATTTCTACTATCAATAAAAAGTACTCTCATCCTTTGATAATGAAATTTAAATCAAATCTCTAAAATCATTAAAATAGCAAATATCTTCTTAAGAAGAACTAGATAAAGTTTGTTAATCTGATCTCATTGTGGGTAAAAAATTATTAAGATTTCAAAAATACACACATCAAAAAGTAGCAACTAATTAAAATATAATGAAAATTATTTCAGACATATCAAAAGAGTAGGAACATTTAGAAGGTGTGAATTCTGCTCGATTACTTATTTAAGGAACTTAAGATATTGAATAAAAAATACGAGTTTAAATGCAACAAATAATCTAGTAGAAATCATTGCACAACGAAGGGGAACTTATGGTATATTATTAAATATTATCAAAAATAGAATCTTAAATTATTGGTATCAGATTATGAATAACATTTATAAAAAGCTTCTAATACTAATAGAGAAACATAAATAGAATAATCTTAAATATCCAAATTTATAAAAGATAAAAACTATTCCATTTTAAGATCTATAGACTAAACAATCAAGCGTACTACTCCAGAATAATTAAAAATTAGAAAATCTTTTTTATCCCGAATCTAAGAGAGTTTATTTTAAAAATGAATATACTATTTGTTTAAAGTTTTTAATTTGATTGTATTCATATATTGGCATTCTCAAATTTTATTATTCATTAATATTCTATTTATATTACTCCTGATCAATGTAAATTAGAAAAATGTAGAATTTAATAGCCATCATTCCTTATATATAATTATTAAATCCTCATAATCTATAAGCATATTTTAAACTTATGCCCTTCATATTTTTTATTATTTTTAATAATGTATTCCTTCAATCAAATATCATTTCTTTTATTCCTTATTTGAAAATTTATATGATTATTCTACTTTTCTTCAAAATATAATTTATTTTAATTAATATTATAATATTATGATGAAAGCATTTGCTTTTATATGAATAAGTTCATATATTCTTATATATTAATATTAAAAATTATATATTAATTTATAAATCATGATCAATAAGCTCATTTATTTTTTAAAAAATTTAAAATATAATCCCAAATTGCTAATTAGTGATCCTCTCCTTATTTAAAACTTTCATAACATTCTTTTAAATATATTTCTCTTAAATTTTCATCTTAAAAGTCTTTAAAAAAAAATATCAAGATTATTGGATTAAACTCTGGATGAAATTATAATCCTAATAAATGATTATTTTTAAAAGCATAATTCTAACAATGTTTTGCACTCATTAATAACTCAGTATTTTTTGGTAGCTCAAAAACATAATCTCCATGAATTTAATATACATTTAGATTCTTTATTTGATATTCTCCAAAATTTAAACCTGTGAGTAACGCTAACCTCCCAACTTACATATGAGGTACAAAAGTCATTTTTTTTGCTTCTCCTCCTAAACAATGGGCCATAATTTAATGACCAAAACATATTCCCAAGATTTTGATTTAACGTTAATCAGCTTCTTTTAAAAAATTAAACAATGGCTCCTTCCAATTCTCTGACATGTCATATGCTGCGCTTGTTGAACCTGTGATGATAATGCCATCTAAGTTCTCTAATTTAGGATATTAATTTTCTATTGCCTAAAATTATAACAATATATACTAAATAAACTTCCCAATCTTCATTATCTTCTTTGTAGATTCCTAAATGTAATGCCTCCATGATATTAACATATTTAAGATAATATTATGGCTCTGTAATTATTAAAGCAAACCTTTTTCTCTACTTCTATTATTTTTCTTTTTCTTATAATATATGAGGTACAATATCAGATTTAAATCCTTAATCAATAGTAAATTCAATTAAAATAATTTTTTCATCTTTGGTTGATTTGATTATTTCACCTTAAGTAACAACTCTAAGTAACTCTTTATATTGATTCTTATACNTTTGATTGTATTCATATATTGGCATTCTCAAATTTTATTATTCATTAATATTCTATTTATATTACTCCTGATCAATGTAAATTAGAAAAATGTAGAATTTAATAGCCATCATTCCTTATATATAATTATTAAATCCTCATAATCTATAAGCATATTTTAAACTTATGCCCTTCATATTTTTTATTATTTTTAATAATGTATTCCTTCAATCAAATATCATTTCTTTTATTCCTTATTTGAAAATTTATATGATTATTCTACTTTTCTTCAAAATATAATTTATTTTAATTAATATTATAATATTATGATGAAAGCATTTGCTTTTATATGAATAAGTTCATATATTCTTATATATTAATATTAAAAATTATATATTAATTTATAAATCATGATCAATAAGCTCATTTATTTTTTAAAAAATTTAAAATATAATCCCAAATTGCTAATTAGTGATCCTCTCCTTATTTAAAACTTTCATAACATTCTTTTAAATATATTTCTCTTAAATTTTCATCTTAAAAGTCTTTAAAAAAAAATATCAAGATTATTGGATTAAACTCTGGATGAAATTATAATCCTAATAAATGATTATTTTTAAAAGCATAATTCTAACAATGTTTTGCACTCATTAATAACTCAGTATTTTTTGGTAGCTCAAAAACATAATCTCCATGAATTTAATATACATTTAGATTCTTTATTTGATATTCTCCAAAATTTAAACCTGTGAGTAACGCTAACCTCCCAACTTACATATGAGGTACAAAAGTCATTTTTTTTGCTTCTCCTCCTAAACAATGGGCCATAATTTAATGACCAAAACATATTCCCAAGATTTTGATTTAACGTTAATCAGCTTCTTTTAAAAAATTAAACAATGGCTCCTTCCAATTCTCTGACATGTCATATGCTGCGCTTGTTGAACCTGTGATGATAATGCCATCTAAGTTCTCTAATTTAGGATATTAATTTTCTATTGCCTAAAATTATAACAATATATACTAAATAAACTTCCCAATCTTCATTATCTTCTTTGTAGATTCCTAAATGTAATGCCTCCATGATATTAACATATTTAAGATAATATTATGGCTCTGTAATTATTAAAGCAAACCTTTTTCTCTACTTCTATTATTTTTCTTTTTCTTATAATATATGAGGTACAATATCAGATTTAAATCCTTAATCAATAGTAAATTCAATTAAAATAATTTTTTCATCTTTGGTTGATTTGATTATTTCACCTTAAGTAACAACTCTAAGTAACTCTTTATATTGATTCTTATACAATATTTCCACATATTATTCAAGATTTTAAATTTAGATTGAATATGTCATTTAATACAATAGTCTAGCAGCAGCGAAAAAATCATTAGGATCAAATTCAGGATAGTAACTGATGTTAAAGAAATCTAATTCTTTGGAGTTATAAATAAAATATTCTCCTTATCTAATTATGAGGGTCACTTATTTCTTTTTATTCATCATTATCACTTGAAATAATTAAAAAAAATAAAAAATAAAAATTTCAAATAATTTATAATTTATGGAACAAAAATACACTGAAAGTTAATATTAGAACATATTTAATCTTTAAGTTTCAGTCTAGAAAATACCATCATTTCTTTCAAAAAAAAAGTTAACATGATGTAATTTGTTTTTAAACTTCGAAACCAAGAAAAGTGATATTCTTTGTTTTTTAATTATAATTTTTTCTATAGCATTAAATAATAATAATCAATATAACTTGAATTAATAGATAAAATTATACAATAATATTTTGTAAAAAAAGTTATAGTTATTAACTATATTTTGCTTTGTTTAGGTTAAAAATCTTGAATATTTTTAACAGTATAAAAATATGATTGAAATATTGGGTTTTTTCTCATAATTTTCATTCCATTAAATTTTCTATTATTTTTAATAGTTTTGGATAAAAAATATCAAAGAAATAAATTAGATATATGAATTTTCAAATAAAATATAATATCAATATCAAATTAGCTACTGCAATTATTAATTCATATATCGTCGATATATTAATATTAACGCTTAAATCAGGAGAGTTATAAGATCCCACTTGGCAAACATTATTTGCTAAATCATAGTAACATTCATCTTATCTAATGTTGCAATCTTCTTAAGAAATAATTAAATTGCAATGTAATTAGCAACTATTGTAAAAGGAACTCCATGAACATCTTGTTATTTCATTACAACTTTCTGCCGTAGAAAAGGATGAACATGATATTGATATGCAACTATCTTTTCCCCATTGACAAATATTTTTTGCTTAGGAACATGTACATGGATCTTGAATAAATTCACATGGTAAACATTAAGAATCTTTCAATAAGCAAGTAAAATTATTGAACTAATTTCCATTACAAAGATTAGAAGATCCATATAATGCACAAACTTAAGATGTACAAATCAATTCATCCTGATAAATATTCTATTATTGAATTAAACATTTTTATGTATTATATAGTTGAATTTGAATACATTAAGATGAGCTTAATAATTAACAACTAATATTATCTACACATTGATCCCCTGACTTTACACATTTATTTCCTAATAAAGTACAATTAGTCAAATCAGAACATTTGATTGCTTCACAAATATTAGATTTCTTACAAAATTTGCTTGAGCAATCTGATAATTGACAATAAAGTTCATAGTTTCTTTCATTCAAACATCTAGAATTAATTCCAATACATTTTTCTCCAGATTCAAATGTAATTGAACTACATATTGAATGGTCAACATTAACAATATCTTCACATTTACTTGCACTTTGACAAACACCATTATTTAAAAAGCAAACCATATTTAGTCTAGAATTTTTACACTCAATTTAACCTAAATCTTCACAACGTACTCTTCTGCAAGAATTATATTTATTATCAAACATGCATAATTATTATTCACCACATTTAATTTAATCCTTATTTGCACAAATGCTTTATGTTGCAACTATATTGCATTAACATTTCATAAAATCTGAATTAAAAATACATGATGAATTTAATAAACAAGCAGATTTTGAGAGTCCAGGAATTTAGCATACTTGTGAATTAGTTACTGTCTTGCATTTTTTATTTAGAATATCATAGGAACAGGAATCTTCTAATGATGCACATCCTAATTCATTCACATTTCTAGCCTATTCACAAGTATAATTAGAAGGTAATATTTTACATTAGCCTTCAACAAAAATACAAGGTTCTCTTATAATTGATGTACACGCCTGTTTACTTAATCCTGGTGAATCACAAAATAAAGAATTAACATTGAATTCAGATGTACATTTTTTTAATTCTTGATTATAAATACAAGATGATTTAACAAGTTGGCAAGTTGCTTATGTGACTTCAAAAACTTAATCACATAAAAAATTATCAGTTAAATGACATCCATTATCCCAATATGCTGCTTAGATGAGAGACAAACAAGCTGTTTTTGATAAAGTTTCAAGATCAGTAATAGTCCCATTAAAATCCTTACATGCTTAGGAATCTGAATCATAAATACATGACTTAGTAGGAATCATTTAACATGTTTTTTTATTAATCAATTGATAATCTGAACAAGTTTTAACATCTTCAAATGTAACATTCTTGCACTAATTTATAGTTTCATCATAGGTGCATGATATATCAGATATATTTAAACAAGTAACTTTAGATATGTATTGAGTTGTACATTCGGTTACTTACTAATCTAGAAATGGTTTTGGCTAAAAAATATAGTCCTATTTATAAATGCATTTTCTTTATCTCCATAAGCAATCTTTCTCTTAACAAGCTAAGAGGTTTAATTTTGAACTACATGAGACTGTTTCTCCTTCAATAGATTTGCAAGTTGTATTCCAATAACACTTTAATTATGTCATTGTGACGCAATCAAACTCTGTCAAATTTTCAGAACAATCTAATTAAATGGGTACTAAAGTTGCTTCAACCTTATAATTAGGATTAAGTTCATAAAAAATATCTGATAAATTTGAAGTGCAAACATAATCTCTATATTCACAACTGCTAGAAGCATAATATTGACAAACTTTTCTATTTATTTATAAAGTGATCGTTTCACAATTGATACTTGTTTATGTAGAATAATAATTTTAGCATCCTGATGTATTATCCCAATAACAAAAGAAATCAGAATCTAGACATGCTAGTCTATTATATATCTACACACAGGAAAGTGGTTTAGTTGGAGTACAACTAGTTAAACCACAAGGATACTCAAAATTATAACAATCAGTATTTTCAGTTTATTTTTTATAACAACTTATATCTTTAAAAACGCACACAGTTCCTTGCCAAAAACAATGAAATGGAGAAGCTTTGCAATTTTGTTCACTTTATAATTTAGAACATTCTTTTCTTGAATCGTATGTAGTTAAGATTGAACATTAGTTATTGCTGAATTAACATATTTGTTCTGTTACATTCTAACAGCTATATTTATTAAATCCCTATTTACAAATCTTAGGAGTATTTCCAAAACTCTTACAAGTATCAGTAAATTCACAAAATTAATTTGGTACATTCATACATTAATTATAATTAATAGCATCAGAACATTAAATTAATGGTTTAATAGAACATGTTTTAGTTGTATCATTCCATTAACATAAATTATCATTAATAGCTAAACAAGTATTTTTATTTACTTCAGAATTACAATTCAAATTATCTAATTATGAATTTTAACATTAATTATTTTACCATTTACAATATCCTGTTGTTTATTCTAAACATGCTTTTTTATTTAATCCCATATTTTCACAAATTTCAATTGTATAACTAAATGTAATACATCCTGTATTTGATGAATTAGCCATACAAGCATTAGCATTACTTCCCTTACTACATAAACTTAATGAATATAAAACTGAAGGATTTGTTGGAATTGATGCAGGAACATAACAACTAGTTTGAGTTGATTATGAACAAGTATTGGTTAAAACGTTCCATTCGCAAACAAGATTTGAATTTTCTATATTAATACAAGCATATTTATTTAATAAACTACAATCATTTAAATTTGTAAGATCTATTAATTATTAACATTAATTATCTATCCATCCACAATTTATAGTTAAGATATCACTTGTTATTACAATGCAACTTTATTTATTTAAATATTGACATCCTTAAACATTTACATAATTTGCCGTATTAAGTAATCCACATTTATAATTATAAATATCATAATAATAAGTATTTCCTGTTAATTAAGTACATCCATATAGATTTAAATTTGCATCAAAAATACTTGAAGAAGTACAAGTAGTAGTTGAATCATTAGGATTTCCTAATAAACAAGAAACATTAGCTCTAATAGCACATTCAATATTAGTAGTAAAATCAGAACAATTATTAGTTTCTTTTAATATTTTACATTTAGAAGTTGATTATTAATACATACATTTTTAATTATCTTAATTACTTATTTTAATACATCCAGAATAATTAATAGTATAAGATTAAACATCTTAACAAATTTAAGTAGTTACATCTTAACAATTAGTACCATCCCAATAACAAGCTAATGAATCTGATATATCTTATAAACATAATTAATTTGATAATCCAGAACAACTTAAACTTTATGTTTTATCAATACAAAAATATCCAAATTAAAAATCACAATTTTCATATTTTTAACACATCATTTTACTATATTACATTTAATGTGGACATTAATTTGGATTATTATTTGTATTTTAACATCCTAAATTTTAATTATAACTACATATTACTTACCATTAACTTAAACAATCAAATTAATTTTAAAATACATTACAATTTATTGAATCATATTTAATTTAATTATTCTAAATACCTTTAATTAATGTTAAATNATATGGTAAATATTCAACCTTTTTTTAGGAAGAAGCATTATTGCATATTGTTAATGAAATGCATTTTAAATTTTACCATTCGCAATTGTTTGATTCACAACTATTTTAAGTATCATAATTTGAACATCTTTGCCAAGAATCAATATAAAATAGGACAGTACACTGTTAATCTTTAAATTAACATGTTACACCTTTAACACTTTTGCACGCAAATTTATTATACCCAGTTTTACAAATTGGTTAAACTAAATCAAGCGAACTACATTTAAAATCAGTAAATTCACAAAATTAATTTGGTACATTCATACATTAATTATAATTAATAGCATCAGAACATTATATTAATGGTTTAATAGAACATGTTTTAGTTGTATCATTCCATTAACATAAATTATCATTAATAGCTAAACAAGTATTTTTATTTACTTCAGAATTACAATTCAAATTATCTAATTATGAATTTTAACATTAATTATTTTACCATTTACAATATCCTGTTGTTTATTCTAAACATGCTTTTTTATTTAATCCCATATTTTCACAAATTTCAATTGTATAACTAAATGTAATACATCCTGTATTTGATGAATTAGCCATACAAGCATTAGCATTACTTCCCTTACTACATAAACTTAATGAATATAAAACTGAAGGATTTGTTGGAATTGATGCAGGAACATAACAACTAGTTTGAGTTGATTATGAACAAGTATTGGTTAAAACGTTCCATTCGCAAACAAGATTTGAATTTTCTATATTAATACAAGCATATTTATTTAATAAACTACAATCATTTAAATTTGTAAGATCTATTAATTATTAACATTAATTATCTATCCATCCACAATTTATAGTTAAGATATCACTTGTTATTACAATGCAACTTTATTTATTTAAATATTGACATCCTTAAACATTTACATAATTTGCCGTATTAAGTAATCCACATTTATAATTATAAATATCATAATAATAAGTATTTCCTGTTAATTAAGTACATCCATATAGATTTAAATTTGCATCAAAAATACTTGAAGAAGTACAAGTAGTAGTTGAATCATTAGGATTTCCTAATAAACAAGAAACATTAGCTCTAATAGCACATTCAATATTAGTAGTAAAATCAGAACAATTATTAGTTTCTTTTAATATTTTACATTTAGAAGTTGATTATTAATACATACATTTTTAATTATCTTAATTACTTATTTTAATACATCCAGAATAATTAATAGTATAAGATTAAACATCTTAACAAATTTAAGTAGTTACATCTTAACAATTAGTACCATCCCAATAACAAGCTAATGAATCTGATATATCTTATAAACATAATTAATTTGATAATCCAGAACAACTTAAACTTAATGTTTTATCAATACAAAAATATCCAAATTAAAAATCACAATTTTCATATTTTTAACACATCATTTTACTATATTACATTTAATGTGGACATTAATTTGGATTATTATTTGTATTTTAACATCCTAAATTTTAATTATAACTACATATTACTTACCATTAACTTAAACAATCAAATTAATTTTAAAATACATTACAATTTATTGNAAATTTATTATACCCAGTTTTACAAATTGGTTAAACTAAATCAAGCGAACTACATTTAAAATCAGTAAATTCACAAAATTAATTTGGTACATTCATACATTAATTATAATTAATAGCATCAGAACATTATATTAATGGTTTAATAGAACATGTTTTAGTTGTATCATTCCATTAACATAAATTATCATTAATAGCTAAACAAGTATTTTTATTTACTTCAGAATTACAATTCAAATTATCTAATTATGAATTTTAACATTAATTATTTTACCATTTACAATATCCTGTTGTTTATTCTAAACATGCTTTTTTATTTAATCCCATATTTTCACAAATTTCAATTGTATAACTAAATGTAATACATCCTGTATTTGATGAATTAGCCATACAAGCATTAGCATTACTTCCCTTACTACATAAACTTAATGAATATAAAACTGAAGGATTTGTTGGAATTGATGCAGGAACATAACAACTAGTTTGAGTTGATTATGAACAAGTACGTGTTGAAACGTTCCATTCGCAAACAAGATTTGAATTTTCTATATTAATACAAGCATATTTATTTAATAAACTACAATCATTTAAATTTGTAAGATCTATTAATTATTAACATTAATTATCTATCCATCCACAATTGATATTTAAGATATCACTTGTTATTTCAATACAACTTTATTTATTTAAATATTGACATCCTTAAACATTTACATAATTTGCTGTATTAAGTAATCCACATTTATAATTATAAATATCATAATAATAAGTATTTCCTGTTAATTAAGTACATCCATATAGATTTAAATTTGCATCAAAAATACTTGAAGAAGTACAAGTAGTAGTTGAATCATTAGGATTTCCTAATAAACAAGAAACATTAGCTCTAATAGCACATTCAATATTAGTAGTAAAATCAGAACAATTATTAGTTTCTTTTAATATTTTACATTTAGAAGTTGATTATTAATACATACATTTTTAATTATCTTAATTACTTATTTTAATACATCCAGAATAATTAATAGTATAAGATTAAACATCTTAACAAATTTAAGTAGTTACATCTTAACAATTAGTACCATCCCAATAACAAGCTAATGAATCTGATATATCTTATAAACATAATTAATTTGATAATCCAGAACAACTTAAACTTTATGTTTTATCAATACAAAAATATCCAAATTAAAAATCACAATTTTCATATTTTTAACACATCATTTTACTATATTACATTTAATGTGGACATTAATTTGGATTATTATTTGTATTTTAACATCCTAAATTTTAATTATAACTACATATTACTTACCATTAACTTAAACAATCAAATTAATTTTAAAATACATTACAATTTATTGTATAAACTATTTTATCATTTTAAATTTGACTGAGCAAACTAAAATCTTTGCATTTATTATTAATATATTGACAATACGGAAATTATCTACAAAAATTATAATTTGTCAAATCGTATTTATCACATTTAACTTATAAATTTTATGTATAACATTATCCTTTATCATAAACACAGTTATAATATAGATTATTGATACAATCTTCTTTTGTATACTCAAATTCACATTTATTCTTTGAAATAGTTTTGCAAACACCATTAATAAAAGAGCAATTTTATAAAGATTTTTCACAAACTGATCTTCCAATTCCAGGGGTTTCACATTTTAAATTTATAGTAGTTGTCATTTATTTACAACTATTTAATATGCCATAACAATTCTAAATGCTTGAACATAGAAACCATGAAGTATTTGTTATAGAAGCAGGACATAAGGATGAAGTACTATTTGGAATACATATATCCGCAAAATAACCGCATAACATATTCATATTTAAGCAAGCCAGCTTATTAAGTTATTTACATGAAGATACTTAACTTAGATCAGACGTACATTTACCATTTATAAAAGCACATTAACCATAAGTTGCTTCAAAACAAATTTTTATATTAATTCCTGGTTCATCACAACTGTAGTAATTAGTATTTGATGGCACCTCACAATTATTTTGAGCACTATTAATTTTACATCTAACTTCAGTTGAGTAAGTGTTGTCGCTGTAAAGCGAATTAGCACAGTATTAAGTTGGATTGTATGTTGAGATATTCGCTGGAAATGAGCAAATAAGTTTTGGTTCCATTACCATCAAACAAAAATTTGAATTAACCTAACAGATACTATTTTTCACTTTTTAACAAGTGTTTTTATTAGCGTAATCACAACTTATTGTTTTTAAATGATGATTCCAATACCGACTTTTTGATGAGTCTGTAGGCTCGCTCTTACATTATTAATCAACAAATATACAATTTCCACTTGTAAGTTAAGAACAAGTTTATTGATTTAATAATAAATTTGCATTTCCACAATCTGCTATAGTTGTAGAAGAGGCAATAGAAGCACATATCCTATCTGGAAATTTATAAACACAATAATATTCATCTAATGATTATCTTGGAACAGGGGATATAATACTAATACAACCTGCCTAACTAATTGATGTATTAGCCATACAATTATAACGTTAAGTAGATTTAAAATAAACACATTTTTCTCCATCCCATGAACACCTTTCATTAGGTTTTGTAATTTATTAACATGCCTTTTTACTAAGATAAAAACCTTCACAAGTCAAAGATTCATAATTAGATGATATTAATATTTAGCAGGAATCTCCAGCAAAATAGCAAGCTTCTGTGCTAAACTAACATGTATATTTATTAAAATAGGATTCACAAGTAGTTGGGGCAACTGCTACTAAAATACATTTGTTTTAAAAAAATTAACATTTTTCAGTTGATTATAATACACAAACTTTTTAAGATACATTATTGTATGAAGTGCAATATTGATTAAATGATGTCACTTATTAACAAAATCCATTACTCCATTTACATGGTTAATTAGATAAACCAAGACAAATTTCTTTTTTTATTCCCTGATCATCACATGTTAAATTAGTGGATTATGTTTGACAACTCTTTGTTTGAAAATTGTATTTACAATTCATAAAAGTTGCACATGCAGAAGCTGAAACATTGATTAAAGCATCACAATTATTTTGAGGTACTAACAATTTGCAAACTTCATATAATACATCCCACTAACATTTTGGAGTTGTTAAACATAATTCCTAGTTAAAAGAACTGCTATCCTCAGTTTCACAAGTTTTATCTGTTTAATATTATTCACAAATTAAATTAGTATATTTTCTCTTACCTGCTGAATACATACATAATTATCTACTTACAATCATTGATTTTGGAAGGGATTTAAATAATTTTAATTTTGGATCTGATAACACGTTTATGCATTTACCGTCATCATCAAGCCATATACATTCTTACCCCATTTTTTGTATAGATCCGCATGAAAATTTTGAAATTACAGCCTCACAATTCAAAATATTTAGTTAATAATCTTAAAGTTCTCTACATTATTTTTATGTTTCATCCCAAGAACATAAAAGTCTCATATTAACACAATAATATTTATTTATGCCTGGTTATTTACATCCTAATTTTGGAACGCATCCAATAAAGTTATTTGATTCTTGAGTCCAATTACAATTGTCAATATTACAAAGACTTTCTTGATTTGTGATACATTCTTAACTACAAACAGGAGGATTTAATAAAGTATTCAAATAACATCCTTAATCTTGAGTTAAACCCTTACATTTTCTAAAAGAATCTGAGGATTCTGAAATACAAGAGCTCTTTTAGTTATTTAAACCTTCAAGACAAGTAAATTCTTTTTCTTGTCCATCAGAATTTAATGGTTATGGAATACAATTTAAGTTAATATATGTACATCTATTTCTATCAATATATCTACAAAGAATAGAATTTTTTGCTATAAATTGTTCATTTTGTAATTATAATTCATCAGATATCAGAAGGCATCTTTAATGAGTAAATATACCTTTAATATATCTGCAATAAATATGATTGACCCCTACCTCTTAAATTTTTGAAGAGAATATCATTTAATAATCACTATCATCAACTATTTCTAATGCTATACAACCTTCTCGTTATCTGTCACTAATTTTCACTATTTTTAGATTATATTTTACAATTGCTTAATCCACTTCCAAGTGGTTGACCCAATTCATACCATTAAAAGTAACCACCAGAGTTTACAAAGTTATTTTTTAAAGTTCCAGTTTCATATATTTTATTATCAGCCTCTACTTATAATCCTAAATCTTTTCTATAAAGACGTTCTGATTCTAAAACAAAATTTGGTTTATATTGAGTAAGTGTCCATAATAATGTATGGTGGATAATGAGATAATCTAATTAATTACTAAGTGTACTTTCAATCCTTCCACAAATTGATGCACTATATAATTTATCTTAAAAGTCTTAGAAATTATCCATTTGAGAAACATAATCACAAGTGTATGTCTTTTCATTCCATTCACAAAGCTCTGACGTTTTTTGAATTGACATGCATCCATGTTTAGAAAGACTATCCTAACAATTAACCTAACTCAAATCCTGTATTGGTTAACACTTCGATGTAAAAATACCTAAGAGAAAAAATTTATTTTACATTTGGCTAATTCTCCTGAAGCATAAGCCAACTATTTATTACATGCTTTCTTGTTCAGCAAGTCAGAACAACCAAGTTCTAGATTTTTTGTATAATAACAAGCATCATAGTCCCAAATACCTATTATTAATATTGAGGATTTATACATTAGTCATCTATACTTCTAATACAATCATTATAAGTTCTATATTCTATGCATTTGTCAGCACAATGTACTTGTAATAAAGAAAATAGTATTAGGAAAGCTATTATAATAAACCTATATGAATAAGTCATAAAAGAATTTAAATAATGTTAAAGTTGAAATTTGGAATGAAAAAATATAAAGTGACTTTAATTTTAACTAAATACAGTATATATATGATATAATATTTTTTTTAAATTAATTGACATCCGTTTTAAATTTCTATGTTCTCATCTATGTGTGTCATCCTTTAAGAAAAAAATTAAAAATTAAAGTATTATTTTATTTTGTTAGAGTCAACTGGAATTTAAGAATTACAATCTACCAGGCTAAATTATTTATATAATAGACAAAACTAAACGCCTTTTTGAGGATATTAAATTTATCAAAACAATAGTGATTCATGTTTATTAAAATAACCTAATTTAATAAATTCAGATTAATCAAAATACAACAGCAAACAATATTGGAATCAACAACAAGAAATTTGAATGCATTATAGATATTTCGATGGCTATACTTAGATTTGGAGAGGTATAAACACCTGTTCTGCATAAATTAATTGCCTCATCATAATAGCATTCATCAGTTCTGGAATTGCACTCCTCTGCATTTATAATTTTACTACAATGAATTAAACATTAATTTTAATTAGAACTCCATAGACATCTATTTATAGCATTACATGATTCTTAATTTTTCAATTCTTTACATTAAAATGAACGACAAGTATCTTATTCCCATACACATATTTCAATTTTTCCATCACATTAACAAGCATCTTTTATTTATTCACAAGGCAAACATTTTTGATCAATCAATGCACAAGTGTAAACCCCATATTAATTCCCATCACATAATTCTGAAATTCCATAAAGAGCACATACTTAGGATGTGCATAAAACATCATCTAAATAAATATTATATTTCTAAAGATAACATTTGGCTGATGTACTAACAGTTAATCCATCACAAATTCCAGAATCTAAGAATTAACAACTTTAATTTTCTATACAAGTTCCATTTGATAAAGTCTAGCATTAATTACCTAATTAATAGCAATTATTTAATTATGAACATTTTTTAACTTAACAATTATTCTATTAATTCAAACTACAAAAATTATTTTGACAATCAGAATTTTAACAGAATTCTATATAATTGTTGTATGTGAAGCATCTATTATTTGTTCCTATACAAGGTATTCCATCAAAAATAATATTTTCACATTAAGAACTATTTAAATTAAAGATATCTTCGCATTTTCCTGCCGATTAACAAGAATATCCAGTAAAATAGCATATCTTATTATTTAATTAACCAAAACATTCAGATTTATTTAAATCTTCACAATACTTTCTTCTACAATTTTTTTAATTGGTGTCAAAAAAACATTTTATATTTGATTAACAATTATCATATGAAAGATTGCTACAAATTTAAGGAGAAGCAACTATTTAACACTCACATTTTATTAAATCATTATTAAATAAACAGGATGGATTAAAAAAACAAGCTTTTTTTGAAAGCCCTAAAGTTGAACATTTTTAACTAGTTGATACTAATTAACACTTTTTTGCAAATTAATCATAAGAACATGCTTAAGTAAGTGATGCACAAGCCATTTCATTTACTAAAATTGCTTAATCACAAGTATATGATGTTGGTATCCTTTAACATTTATTTGACTTAAATATGCAAGGCTCCTTGATTATTTATGTACAAGTTTCACTACTTACCCCTGGTGTATTACAAAAGACTGCATTTATATTAAATTAAGAAATGCACATTTATTTTGATTCATCATAAATACATGATGTTTATGCTACTACACAAGCTTCTGGGCTACTCTAAAATTTTTGATTGCATTCAAAAATTGTAACAGGAATACAAAAATCATTCCAATATGCTGCAATTGGAAGTGTCAGACAAGCTTATTTTGAAAGGCCACTCAAATCAGTAACAATACTTGGGACAGGAATACAGGATTTTTGAATGTCATTATAATCGCATGCAAATTTTGTCAATGATTAACATGTTCTTTTATTTACATTTAAATAGAAGGAACATGGTTAATCAAAATTAAGAACTTTCTTACAATTTTATGTATTGTTGTCATATTAACAAGCTTAAGTTTCCATATTTAAGCATGTTGATTTTGATATAAACTTTGTTTCGCATGATGTTACATCTTTATCCAAAAATTCATTAAAATTTTATACAGTAGAGAATTAATAGCATTATCTGTCTCTCCAATGTAAATTAAATTTTTTACAACCATTTAAGTTTAAAGTTTGAGGATCTAAATTTTTTTCATTAGTTATTTAAATACAGAATCCATTCCAATAACATTCATAAGCAGTTGATAAAATGCAATCTTATTTTGTAGCATAGAAATCACAAGTTTGATCCTCCACTTAATGATTTATTTCTGTACTTGCAAGTGTTTGTTAGGGATGTTAAATAAAATATTATTCAGTAATACGATATGAACAACTATCATATTTGAATTCACAAAATTTAGGAGCAAACTTAATACAAACGTTCTTATTTACTTTCAAAGTTTCTAAACATTGAATTTCATATAAATGTGTGATATATGAAGAACATCCCAAATTATCATCCCATTAACAATATAAGCTTGAGCTTAAGCATCCGAATTTATTAAAAATTTAATTACAAGCTTAAGGTTAATAATTAACACAGGGATTCAACTTATATGGTAAATATTCAACCTTTTTTTAGGAAGAAGCATTATTGCATATTGTTAATGAAATGCATTTTAAATTTTACCATTCGCAATTGTTTGATTCACAACTATTTTAAGTATCATAATTTGAACATCTTTGCCAAGAATCAATATAAAATAGGACAGTACACTGTTAATCTTTAAATTAACATGTTACACCTTTAACACTTTTGCACGCAAATTTATTATACCCAGTTTTACAAATTGGTTAAACTAAATCAAGCGAACTACATTTAAAATCAGTAAATTCACAAAATTAATTTGGTACATTCATACATTAATTATAATTAATAGCATCAGAACATTATATTAATGGTTTAATAGAACATGTTTTAGTTGTATCATTCCATTAACATAAATTATCATTAATAGCTAAACAAGTATTTTTATTTACTTCAGAATTACAATTCAAATTATCTAATTATGAATTTTAACATTAATTATTTTACCATTTACAATATCCTGTTGTTTATTCTAAACATGCTTTTTTATTTAATCCCATATTTTCACAAATTTCAATTGTATAACTAAATGTAATACATCCTGTATTTGATGAATTAGCCATACAAGCATTAGCATTACTTCCCTTACTACATAAACTTAATGAATATAAAACTGAAGGATTTGTTGGAATTGATGCAGGAACATAACAACTAGTTTGAGTTGATTATGAACAAGTACGTGTTGAAACGTTCCATTCGCAAACAAGATTTGAATTTTCTATATTAATACAAGCATATTTATTTAATAAACTACAATCATTTAAATTTGTAAGATCTATTAATTATTAACATTAATTATCTATCCATCCACAATTGATATTTAAGATATCACTTGTTATTTCAATACAACTTTATTTATTTAAATATTGACATCCTTAAACATTTACATAATTTGCTGTATTAAGTAATCCACATTTATAATTATAAATATCATAATAATAAGTATTTCCTGTTAATTAAGTACATCCATATAGATTTAAATTTGCATCAAAAATACTTGAAGAAGTACAAGTAGTAGTTGAATCATTAGGATTTCCTAATAAACAAGAAACATTAGCTCTAATAGCACATTCAATATTAGTAGTAAAATCAGAACAATTATTAGTTTCTTTTAATATTTTACATTTAGAAGTTGATTATTAATACATACATTTTTAATTATCTTAATTACTTATTTTAATACATCCAGAATAATTAATAGTATAAGATTAAACATCTTAACAAATTTAAGTAGTTACATCTTAACAATTAGTACCATCCCAATAACAAGCTAATGAATCTGATATATCTTATAAACATAATTAATTTGATAATCCAGAACAACTTAAACTTTATGTTTTATCAATACAAAAATATCCAAATTAAAAATCACAATTTTCATATTTTTAACACATCATTTTACTATATTACATTTAATGTGGACATTAATTTGGATTATTATTTGTATTTTAACATCCTAAATTTTAATTATAACTACATATTACTTACCATTAACTTAAACAATCAAATTAATTTTAAAATACATTACAATTTATTGAATCATATTTAATTTAATTATTCTAAATACCTTTAATTAATGTTAAATCAAAACAATTCATTTAATCAAAGTCATATTTACAATTTTGAAATTATCTACAAAAATTATAATTTGTTGATTCATAAATATCACATTTAGTGAGTATATTTTATGTGTAGCATTTATTATTTTTAAAAACACATTTAAAATATAAATTATTTGCACATTACTATTAGGTCAACTAATATTCACATTTATCTTTTGATATTGTTTAACATTTTGAATTGAAGAATTAACAATTCATATTAGCTTGTAAACATACTGCTTTACCAATTTGTGGACTATTACAACTTGTAGGTGAAATCTATGAGGGTAATAAGCTATAACAACTAAATTAATTAGCATAACAATCATCCAATAATGAACAACTTTAATAATCTTAATTAGCACATGAAAGAGTCAAATCTATTCTTCTGTCTTAGCAAACATTATCTTCTTTGATGAATTATTATACACAATTTCTACTTGAATTTAAGCAAGCCCATTTATTCAAATTACTACAACTTTCATTTCGTAATGTAGCATCAACACAGACATAATTTACAAATGCACATTATCCGTATGTTTAACTTAGACATACCGATTTATTGATTCCTAATTCATTACATGCAAAACGAGCAGTTTCTAATGCCAAAACACATTTTTGTAAATTTTTATCATAAAGGCATGGATAAATAGTCTAACCATAAATTTAAGCACAAACTTAAGGATTAAATTAAGATTCTATATTTTTAAAAAAATTATAGTTATAGATGTAATCGCCAA